TCTTGCCTTGTATTAGGTAACACTTACTGATAGAGTAACTTTTAAAAGAATTTAAGTTAATAACTATTGGATTCCTTTATTTAACCTAAAGCAGTGGAGCTCTGACATATCATGGAACAATGGTCTTTGGGTAGGAAGAACTTCCCTGGATAGTTTTCAGATCACATTGTTTTCCTTAACAGTGGTTGAAGCTAAAAGTTAATGACAGCTTGATATTTTCTGTTTTACTGATGATATATACAGTACAGAAAAAAAAAAGACCATGTGTAATTTTACCTTTTCTTCCCATCTTTCTTCTACTTGTTATAGAAACAAACTTAATAGATATAAACACCATTAAAAGCCCCACTATTCATAAAGCCCCACTATTCATAAGCATGTTTTACTTTTGTGTAGTAGATTTAAATAGTGTATTGGGTTGTTGGAGCTGTCTGTAGGTCTCTAGGATACTGTAAACATTCCTTGTGGCAAGAGACTTAAGATGAAGCCTTTGGGGAACTTTAGTGTGGATAACCAGCAGCTATGTCTCTCTTATGAAATAATAATACTTAGTTTTGATGGTAAAGTTGTTGGATAGCCAAAAAAGAAACACCTGGGGGAAAAACATACCATTTTTCTTGTTCCTTGCTTCCAACTTTATTATCAAAAATTAAAGTATACAGAAAAGTTGAAGGAATTTTTCAGTGAATAACCATATGCTCATCATCTAGGTACATCGAATAACATTTTATCATATTTCCAGTATATGTATTTGCAATGTGTGTATAATTTTGAATGAATGCATTAGAAGAATTGTTCATTTTCTTAGATGGTACAGAGATACCATAGATATGTAGGATAGTATGTACATGTTTAAAATGTTGTGTTTAGTACCTGTTGTTAATGAAAAAAATGGCGTATCTTTCAGATAACTCACTACAAACAAGTAACATGTTACAGTTATTTCTTTTGTACTAGAATTTAATCAGATCATGCAGTACATTGATGTATTTGTTTTTTAACATCTGAAGACATTAGATTTAAATTGATGCAAAGATTCTCAGTTGTTTTTTTTTTTTTTTTTTTTTTGGTCTTTTTATCAGTACCGGGCATCGAACTCACAACTGCCTGCTTGCAAGGCAGGCACTTATCTCAGTTGTTTTTTGATTGCTTATATTTCAGTGAGAAATAAAGTGACCCCATAACTATTATTTCTTGATATGTGAGATACATATTCCAACAATGATTCTTTGACACTAATTGAATGCCCAAAATTCCATCCAGTTCTGATACAGATCCCACAGATTTAGCGACTCAGACATATACGACTGCTCCTGTGGCACCCCAGTGGCATGTCTCAGCCACCTCTAGCTTAACTACAAATCTGGGCTTTCTTTTACACTCTTATAAGTCTGATAATGTGCTATGACTTACAGAACTTGGAACGATGCTACACTTAGGAATTTATTATAAAAGGTACAGAGTCTTTAAGGTTTCAGAGTAGCTTCTCTCCTCATAGAGTCAAGGTATACTATTACCTGTCTGATTAATGTGTTTCTCAATCATGCTGAGACATCTATCCCCAGTAGATATGGGGTGGAGTGGGGAGAGGGTGCTTGAATCTCAGCCCGCTCACTTGTAGGTTCACAGAGCGGCTGGTTCTCCTCCTGCTCCATGCTGGGGATACTTACCAAGAAGGTGGAAGAATAAGCTGCCTAAGTCCCACCATCCTAAGCTATTCTTTTAAACACAGACTTAGAACATAGAAGTGAGGTATGTTAAACAAAAAATCTATTATTTTAAACTTTATGTTAAAATAACCTTGAATTCCCAAATCTTTGAAATGATCTATTATTTTATAAAGTTGATTTTGGGTTTGATGTGTCCAGTTAGGTGACTATTTCTTAGGCTGGTTTTTATGTTTATTGTTTTTTTTTTTTAACCAGGTATTGAACTAAGGGCCTCATACTTGTCAGGCAAGCGCTGTGCTGCTGAGTTTACATTCCCAGCCTAGGTGGATATTCAATGATTGGGCATATTTAAGCAGTAAAAATAATTGCCTTAAATATTACTGTGTTTATATTATTTCACTTATCAAACTACATGTTTATTTCCATTTTTCATAGTTTTTAGAATTTGTTCTAAACCCAACCTTTTAAGATTAGTAGTGTTGGTAGTTTAATATAGCACCATAATAATACTAGTAAAAATGACAATAGCTTCCCTTTATGAAATGAGCTGATACACAATTGTGTTTATTCTTTAAAATAGTCCTCTGTAGAGATCTTGTTATCTTTGCTGAATATATGAGGAAATCATGCCTCAGACATTTACTTGCTTATGGTCACGTAATTAGTAATGAGGGGAGTTAGTATTTAATTTACTGATTTACTCCACAGACCGTCCTCCTCCCTTCCCATTCTTGTTCTCAGAAAAAAGAAATAGCAGGTTTTCTTTCATTGGTCTATTTATTCACCAAATAATTCTGTGTGCCTAGTTACTAGGCATTACTCTTGTGTTCCATTTGCAGTAGCTCCAAACTATATATCGGGAATATATTCTAAGACCCTAAGTGAGTACCTGAAACTGAGGACAGCACTAAGCTATGTGTATGTGCGCACTGTGATGTGTGTTTTCTCTCTGTGTCCTAACGGGGACACAGAATTCATCTGTCTTTCCAGTTTTATGCCATGGGACTTCCTTGTATATGCCCTTTTCCTTTGGAGCCATTATTAAGTAATAAAATAAGATCTGCTTTTACGCAAATATTAGGTATCTCTGCAGTTGATTTGCTAACTAAGTTGGCTGGTTAACTAAGTAGCACTGCAAATATGCAATGGAAAAAGGGATGAATGATTCACATCCTGTGCTTGGGCAGAAGGGAACAGTGTGAGATTCATTACTTTTCTTAGAAAGATGTGCGATATAAAAATTAGGAATTGTATGGAATTTTCTATTTGAGAGTTGGGACCACAGTTTACCAAAAGTAATTGAAAACATGGGAAGTGAATGTAGATATGAGGAAACTGCTATATAGCCGGCAGTACTTCGTTCTTCAAAATCACTTACCCCATGGTAGATAATGAAAAGGACCCAAACAGTTCTAGTTCTTCTGTTGATCACTTCTTTAAAGCAAGAATTTTGTAATAGTCTTGTTTACTGTTACAGCTAGGATTTTAGGGGGTTCTAGTATAGATATACTATACCATAGACATAGGAATTTGCATTTTCTTCTTGCTGCAATTGTAGGATATGGGAAATCTAAAATGAATACATTGTGATTCTGGAGAATCCTAGGAGCTATTTTTCTTTTTTTGTTTTTTTTTTAGAATCCCTAGTGGTTTTGCTTTGTATTGAACTGGAGTGCAGATGACTGAATGCTCATGATGCTGCTTTATTAAGACTATACATTTTCCACCATTTTAAAAATTAGCTGAGCATAGTAGTGCATGCCTATAATCCCAGCGCATGCATATATATATAGTGAGTCGAGGTCAACCTGAAGTGCATAGTGCGAACAACAACAACAACAAAAAGCCTGTAGTATAGTCTGTGCCAAGATAAGTTTTGAAAACTTTAGGTAGAAATCTTTTTTTTTTTTTTTTTTTTTTTTTTTTGGATGTGGCAGAAATAATTGTTCTTTTAAATACCTATCTGGGTGTGATACTTTAGTTAAGGTACTTTCTCAGAATGTCCAAATAATGACCTCATCTGCATCTCATTAGTTCTGGAGGAAAGTTTCCTATTTATTAGCTCAGCTATCTGTGTTCTGTGTTGCTCAGCATATCCAGAGGTTGGCTACAGTATGTCTAAGCATTAAATTGTTACACAATAAAATCTGGAAGCTGGAAGGAAGAACAGGGTCTTGTTACCTCCTTTTATCTGGGTGGAAAATCTTTACCAGCAATCCCAGTAGACTTCACCTTATGTCATGGTAGCCAGAACTGTTTATGTACTCAGTTGTAAATTAGTTAATGATAAAGGAAAATTAGATTCCTAAGATTGGCTCAAAACAATGTTGATTCATCTCCAAGATCTGAGGGAGAGATCCAGCCATCAGAGCTAGTGATGTGTCATATTAAAAAGTGTTTTGTCATCACAAAAGGGAGAGTCAGGAGGGTAGGCAATGTAAAGATATTTTCTATATACTATATAACAAGCAATTCCTGCAAAAAAGTGAAAATTTAATATATTTGTTTGTACAAGAAAGCATGCTCATTCGAGAAGTATATTATCCTGTAAGTGCTACTTTGTGATTGACACAGGAAGCCAGGCTTGGCTTTCAGTTGATTAGCTACTTTCTGTGCTTTTGTCTGAGTACAGTCCTGTTTATTTTCCTCTGATATTAAGCTCCATAAATGATATTACATGATTTGACGATAGTTTTGATATAGGGGAATGAAACTCCCAACCTACTATGTGTCCAGTACAAGTTCGTGTTCTCTAAAATGAAAGAATGAATTTTAGGAACAATAGAAGTTAAGAGCAGAGTATATTTACTGGGAGAAAGAAAGCTTCTGTCTAGAAGGGATCTTGAGCTGATTGCCAGGGACTCTCTCTTTTTTAGGTACTTCTATAGAGTAAAATCATGTGGTTAGATGGTTCCAAAGTGGGCAAAAATGGGAACTTGCAAGGTGGGACAGAACTGTGGCCAACCAATAAGATTGATTGCTAAGTAAAATTGATTAGATGGGGACAGATGGGGAAGCAAGTCATGGAGAAAGCAGGGATGCTTAACAGCAGTGACTCTTCCTGTAGGAGGTTGGGATGTTGACTTCTAACTGCCTCAGGGTGACAGAGAACTATTTGGACTATCAGTCCTTGGGTTGTTGTTGCTTTGCCTCTTGTCTTGAGATCTGGCCCATAGTAGGAGGTGCTTGTCTCCTCAGAGATCACAAGGTATCTGAACTTCTGTACTGGTTCCTTTGAGGGCTCAGCCCTGTCTGACTGCCTATAATATTTCTAACTCAGCTGCCTATAACAGTTTGATTTTTTTAAAAGTTAATTTGTACTTGTTCTAGGTGGATTCTCCACAGTTTTCCTAGTGCGAACTCATGGTGGAATCCGATGTGCATTGAAGCGAATGTATGTCAATAACATGCCAGACCTCAACATCTGCAAAAGGGAAATTACAATTATGGTAAGTGAAGAGTAATATTTTTAGGTAAATTGAGTATTGACTTATACATATTTGGGAAACCTTTGAAGTTTGTTAAATTGGAAAATTGTCTGGAAACATGTACTTCATTTCTTGTAGCCATACTTATGATGAAGTACAGTCATGTTTTGTTTCCCTGTCTTTCCCCCTTCCCTGTTGCGGGTTTAACAGGTAAGCCACCTTTTTTTGGTGGTTGTATTGGAGGTTGATCCCAAAGTACCTTTGCATAGTGCTATAACCACAGCCTTTTTTATTGACACAGGATCTCATTAAGTTGCTAAGTTGTTTCTCGTGCTTGAGCTTTCAAAAAGGCTGGGATTATGGGCATGTACCACCTGCCAGGTTCCTTTTTCTTTTCTTAAATTCATTTTAATTATTGAATATTGTAAATATAGTAAAACAAAGAGTTACATAGTAAATATCAAGTTTAACTATCATCCAGTTTAAGAAATAAAACCTTACAGATAATGTTGAAGCTTTTTCTATATTCATCCCCAAGTTTTGCCCTGTAATGTTTCCTCATCCAAAAAGAAACCACTGTCCTGAATTTGATGTTTACTATTCTTGTGTGTATTTTATGCATTTAGACTCAAAAACAACAATCTTACTCTTCATTTTAAAAATCATGCTGTAAGATTGTTTTTCTTGTAAACTCTGCAGTTTATGATGAGGTGTCTTTTAGAAAGGGAAAATTTAAATATTAGGAAAAGTAAAATATCTTAATAGATAATTAAACACGTTAGTGATTCGGAGTTAGTGAAACAGTTAAAAATAAATTGCAAAATAAAAAACTTCATCTTTCCTAGTGTTGGTAGTTCTTATTCCTCTAGATGACTACTATTCTTCATTTTCTATCATGGATCGTTTGCTGTTACATATCATGCATGTGATACACACACACATAGTTTTTGTCTTATTGAGGTATAATTCATGTAATATAAAACTGACTTTTAATGTGAACAATTCAGTAGTATATTCACAGTGCTGTATAACTACCACCTCTATCTAGTTTAAAGACCTTTTCTCATAAATGGAGTTGTATAATATATGACCCATGAGTTCATGTAGCATGATGTTTTTGACGTTAAACTACATTATAGTGTGTGTTAGTCCTTTTTATGTCTGAATAATACTGCATTGTAGATATTCAAATTTGTTAGTAATTTTATGAACCTTTGGACTATTTTTGTTTTAGCAATGTGAATGCTACTGTGAATGTGTATATTTGCATTTGTTTGAGTACCTAGTTTAGTTCTTTGGGTATATATTTAGGAATACATTTGCTAGATCATATGGTATGTTTAACTTTCTGAGAAATTGCCAGACTTTTTCACAGTAATTGGGGCATTTATTTTCTTGTGAATAATGTATTTTTTCCATACTTACCAGTACTTTCTGTTAATTCAGACCTACTTATTCAACTGCTAACAGAAGGTTTTTACTTCATATTAGCTTCTTTAGCAACATACATTTTGTTTGAAGATAAATACATTTAAACAGTCTGACTTTTCTGAACCTCACTTTTATTGTCCCGGTTATTAACAAGGTTTGAAGTGACTAAGCTTTTGGGCTTTTTAAAGGTGATATATTTGCCAAAATGATGAAAAAGATTTCCCATAACACAATGGTGAGAAGCTTAGATCTAAGTTCTCTAACTGGATCTCAGATACTCTATATTGTGCTATAATTCTTCTTTTCAATAGAATTTGTGTAATTTTAAGGCATGTAAAATACAGTAGTAGTAGCGGCCAAATTCTATGCATTTGAATAAGATACTTTAGAAGGAGATTAACTTTTTAGCGTGGTACTCTTCCAACTATTTTTGATGACTCATCTCCCTTTATATTACTTATTTATAAAATCTTCACAAATTCAGTGATCATTACTCCCTTCTCTCAAATTACATAACAGTTATATTTAGGTTTATTAATGATAGTGGTTGTAAATTCATTAAAAATATTATTCAATTTCCAAGTAGATCTGGTTAGGTTTTTTGTCTTCCTTGGTCTACTTTGCTGTGCTAATGAATTGAACTCAGGACCTCAGGGATTTTTTATTTTGAGAAAGGGTGTTTCTAAGTTGCCTACATTGCCCTCAAACTTGTGATCCTCTTGCTTCAGCATCCTGAGTTACCTGTGGTTACAGATGTGTACATTGAGCCCAGCCTAGTGCTATTTGTAACCTCCTGTCTTGTACTAGCGTCAGATTTGCTAATGATTACCTGGTACTAGGAATAGAGTATCAGATTTGCCACTTTATTTCCTTGTACTCATATTATTGGTGTTACATACGGTTTTCTTTCACCAGTCTTTTTAAGCACCAGTTGATTTATAAGTAAAAAGTACATGAATCCGTAAATCCATGAAATAGCCACACATAACTTGCAGTGTATTATAGGAAAAACAGTAAGAGTAGAATTGTTCCTTCATTAATATCAGTGCTTAATTCTTTTTTAGGTACACATAACCAGCACTTGGGAAACAGAAGGATTGCCATGAGTTTAAAAGCTAGCCTGAACTACATATCCCATCTTCAAAAACCAACATCAAAACAAGATAAAAAACAACCCCAAAAGATACAAATAAACATAAATGAGAGCTGTAGTATTTTAGAGTATAAGAGAACCATCTAACTACATTTGTTTTAGGAGACTTAAGTGAACTGTTTTCCCATTTTTAATATAAATTTTAAAATGTTTTTGATTTGAAATGACAGAAAAATGTTAAGAAATGAGAAAGTGACACAATATGCAGTTAAACTTTGCATTGAAATCATTGAAGCCTTTGACTGATTGAAATATGTCAAATTCCATACTCATGCCAAGTTCTTTCAGAAATTAATTAAATACATTGTTTCAAACCATTGCTAGTGATATAGGTTTAAAATATTTATTTATTTATTTAAATTTTTTTTGTCTTTTTCCTTTCCCCAGTACCAATAAAAAGGAAAAAGATATAGGCTTAAAATATTTATTTTTCAGTTAAAAATTTTTATTTATTTTTTACAGAAAGAGCTATCTGGTCACAAAAACATCGTGGGTTATTTGGACTGTGCTGTTAATTCAATTAGTGATAATGTATGGGAAGTGCTTATTTTAATGGAATATTGTCGAGGTAAGTACTTGTATTAAAAAACTTTCTAAATAGGTTACTAGCTGTCTTGGTTTCTCCTTGGGTAACTCTTAGTCTTATTTTGGACAAACGTCTTTGTGATATTAGGTTTAGTTATTTACTGTTTAGGCATGTTGTTTAAAAATTATTTAAAACCTAGACATAGTGGGTAATAATGATCCAAATATGTAAGTGGAAAATTACCAAATTGCCATTAGGTTGAAAACAGGAAATCTAAGCAGATAAGTTGTTACATTTCTTGCTTTCTCTATAATTACTATTTTTTTGTTTTTGTTTTTGTGGTATTGGGTGTCAGACAGAGCTTTGTGTATGCTATGCAAGTGCTCTGCCACTGAACTAGGTTCCCATCTTGTGTACAACTGTGTAATCTCACCACGAAGAGTCTGATGTGTCAGTATTAGTGTTCAGGCAGTGTACCATGTTATTGTAAGTATATTCAATTTTGCAAATTCAGAAGCTGCATTTTGATCTATGTAAACGTATTATGTAGTCTTCTGAGATTCATTTTTAAATATTAGAAGAGAGAAAACCACATTTGATTTAGATCTAAAGTATTATTTGAAAAAATTTTTTACTTGTATGGCATGCCTATATATTTTATAAGAATCATCCTTGACTAAAAATTTAATGTGGCAGAAGGGGGCAATAAATCAGTTTTTCTACAAACTTATTTTAAAAATCAGGCTATATTTGTTAAGTTAGATTTTAGGGAGCTCTGGTTTATGTTAAGATTCTTGTAAGACAGTTACGATCATTAGTTACAGTTTCAGGAATTAATGTAATTTCCTGAGTGGAAAAAGAAATGTTTTTATAGCTCATTTATTGTAAGGCATTATACTTTAAGAAGTTTTTGTTTTTTACTCTCACTTTTCTAACATTTAGTATATATGATGTTACTAGTTGGATTAATGCTCATGAATAGACCCTGACTTCTTTTACCTTTCTTTCTTAAATTTTTAGAACTGATACCTGGAAACATAAAAATTACACATATTAGTTTCTATATGATGTTTGATACATGTTGTGTAACCATGTTACGTATATCTGTCTCCTCAGGCATTTATTACTTCTTAATGGTGAAAATCCTTCTACCTTTTTGAAATACACAGTACAAACAGGAGTTGCCATCTGTGGTCACCCTACTGTGAAGTAGCCACCACTTCTTCCTGCTATCTAGGTGCAGCTTAGTGTGCATTAATCATTTTACCTCTCCTTTGTCATATTCTTTTCAGCCTCTAATTAATCATCACTCTACTCCCAACTTCCATGAGATCAGCTTTTCAAGATTTCACATGAATGAGATAATTTGATACTCTTCTTGTACCTAGTTTATTTCACTTAACATAGTGATCTGCAGTTCCCTCCATGTTCTGTGTGGCTGAGTGGTATTCCATTGTGTACATAAACTACATGTTTTTTACCCATGGATTAGTTGCTTTTTCCAAGACTTAGCCATTGTGAATAGCACTGCAATAAACACAGATGCACAAATGTCTTTTTGACATAACTGATCTCATTTATTTGTTTTTTCATCCTTTTACTAAGGAATTAAAAACAACTTAATATTTTATTGTATAAGGAATAGTCCCTAAGGCATGTACTTACAATCCTGGCCTTGGACACGCCCCCATCCCCACCCCCACCCCCCTGTTTATAAAGCTGTAGGACAGAGTAAAGTTGGAATTGACAAGAAAAGTAAGAGACTAGAAGACAACAGAAAATTGGTAGGAAGCAGGAAGAATTTCATTTATTTTGAATCTATGCTGAGGAATGGAATTGCTTGATGATGTGGTAGTTTCATGAATTTTTATTGTTCTTTGTGATATTGGGGACTAAATCCAGAGGGGCTGAACTCTACTAGCCCGTTCATTCATTTGGTGGTTACAGAGGACATTTGTACACTGTATCACTGAGCCACAACCCAAGTCCATATTTTGAGACAAGGTCTCTGTAAGTTGCTCAGGCTTGTTATCATCCTCTTTCAGCCTCCCACGTACCTGAATTTTCGGTATGTGCCACCATGCCTGGCTGGTAGCTCTGTTTTTATTTTTTTGAGGAACCTCCATAGTGTTTTCCATCATGACCATAATAAGGTACACTGCCATCCATAATGAGAAAGTTTTCTCTTTTCACCACATCCTCACCCACATTGGACTTTTTGGCTTTTTATTGGTAGTGTTTCTTACTGAAAGTACAGTGATAATTTCATTATAGGTTTGATTTTCATTTTGGTCATGTTGAACATACTTTCATATGCTTGTTCATTTGCCTGTCTTTTGAAAAATACTACTTAGATCTAATACACATTTTAAAATCAGGTTACTCTTTTGTTTTATTTGTTTATATATATATTTTTTTCCCTTTCTTTTTGAAACAGGGTCTCACTGTATAATTCAGGTTGGCCTTAAACTCACTTTGTAGCCCAGGCAAGTCTAGAACTCAGAGTAATCCTCCTGCCTCAGCCTCCTGAGTGCTGGGATTATAGGCATGTCCCACCATGCCTGGCCTGTGGTTTAGTATTTTTTTTGGAGTTTTTTATTTTTAAATAGTACTGGGGATTGAACTCATGACCTCATGATTGTCAGGCAGGCGCTTATGCCGCTGAACTAAATCACCGACCTTTTTGGAGTTCTTTATGTATTCTGATTATTATCTCCTTTTCAGATGTATGGTTTGCGTGCATTTTCTCCCATTCTGTATGTCCCTTCATTCTATTATTGCTCAGAAATGTTTTTAGTTTGAGGTAGTATTTGTCTGTTTGATCTTTTTTCCTATACATTTGAGATCTCTTCCAAAAAAAAAAAAATCCTCGTCTATTCCAATACCTTGAAGCATTTTCCTATGTTTTAGTGCTTTCATTGTTTCAGATTTTACATTTAAGTTTTTGATCATTTTGAACTGATTTTTGTTAGAGGAGTTTTCATTCTGTCTAGGAATTCTCATTTTTCCCATTTTTTATTTATTGAAAATCTTTGCTTTTTGAGACAGAGTCTTGCCAAGTAGTTGATTTTGTTAAAGTTTCAAGTTAATAATCGTGTGGTCAGTGACATGTGTGATTCTAGTGAATTCTTCTGGCTTATTTTATTTTATTTTTGAGACAGAACTTGTAGTTCAATTGGCCGTGAACTATGTAGCTCAGTGTGGCCTTGAACTCACAGTGATTTTCCTGTCTTAGCCTCCCAAGTGCTGGGATTTCAGGTGTGCAAAACCATGTACCAGCTCTGGACTGTTACTTTTTACTTGGATGGTAGCATTAGTATTTTATCCCTTCTCTTCGCTTTCACTCTTTGATTCTCTATCCCATCCTAATCAAGGAGATCTTTTAAAAAATCAGATCAGAAATTTCCTTTGACTCTTTTCTCAAAATAAAATATAAAACATGGCTAATTCCTGTTTCCCTTGTCCATTTCATCTCACCTCATCTTCTCTGCTTCCTAGATCATTTCAGTATTGGCTTTTTAAAAATTATACTTAATTAGACCAGGGAGCACAAGTGGCTGCCTGGCAAGCATTAAGTCATGAGTTTGAGCCCCAATACCAAGACAAAAATAACAACACCAAAAAAGAAAAAAAAAAAAAAAAAACCCATTGAGATGCTCAAAAGTTATACATAGTCATTAAACTTTTTCCTAAACCAGAGGTGTTTGTATATACTACAATCACAAGCACAGCATCCTTCCAGAGTTTTGCATTATTAATATCTATCCTTCAGTTGCAACATAAATAGTACTTGCAAAGTCAAGCCTGATCTGACATCATTTCCTCTCCATTCTTCACCAGATTTTCTATACTTAGGTCTCTAGTTATTGTTATTATACATTATTATGACTATACGTTTGTATGATTGTCCCTACTTTTAATCTATAAATTTTGAAAATAGAAACATTTTGTTTACCACTGTTTTACCTAACTGTTGCTTCACATCTAATGTGCCATGAATTGTAAGAAAAAATGAAATTTCAGATATTTTAAAATGTTTAAAAGTGACCAGTATTGAGCAGGCTGTGGTGGTGCCCATCTGTAATCCCAGCCCTGTGGAGACTGAGGCAGAAGGATTCCTGCAACTTGGCTCCTGGACTAAATAGTGGATTCAAAGACCAGCCTGATGTAAAATATGTATTTTGAATCACTGCAAAGCCTTTTTACATGAGAACTATGAAAAAGCCAATTTTTCATTACCTAAGACTCTAAAAGCATTTTTAAAAATGTTTTTTCTTCCTGGGAGAATGCATTTATTAAAAATACATCCTCTTGAAAAATACTTCTGTGTTTAGCTGGGCAGGTAGTGAATCAGATGAATAAGAAGCTGCAGACAGGTTTTACAGAGCCAGAAGTGCTACAAATATTCTGTGATACCTGTGAAGCTGTTGCAAGGTTGCATCAATGTAAGACCCCAATCATTCACCGGGATCTGAAGGTAAGAACTTTAAAATACTTACCACTAGAGTGATCTTTTAATTAAAATGAACAGAATACCTTGTTGAGGATTTTGGAATTAAAATCTTTTTGTAGGTTTCCCTGCTTTGGTACTAGAGATTGAACCCAGGTCTTTGTATATATGCTAGGCAAGTACTCTGTCACAGAGATCCATCCTTGGTCCTAAACTAGGTGCTAGTACTAGCGCTGAGATTGGTTTTTCTATCTCTCCTGTATTTCCTGAGGTTATGTTCAGTTCCAACTATAGATTTGAAATTGTGTTTGACCTTTAGGATTTTTACTGTGATGTAGAAGTGAATTTGGTGGCCTTACTATGCATCTGTGTTTTGCCTAGTAAGCTTCTTTTTGTGTGTGTGTGTGTGATACCGGGAATTGAACTCAGAACCTGGCACTTGCCAGTCAGGCGCTTATGCTGCTGAGCTGTATCCTCAGCCCCCATAGTAAGCTTCTTTAAAAGGTTTCATTTGAACAAAAATGAGAGTATCAGTGAAACATGTTGAATGTCCTTCCACATTATTCTTTTCCAGTATAGTAATATTCCTATTCTTGGTTTCTATTAAGCAATTGGTGTTCTCCAGAGATACTGGAAGAAAGTATAAATTAGTCTTTTTTCCCATTTATATATAGTTTACTGTAGTTTTCTGAGATTTACTATAATTTGATAGTGGCTATCCTATAGTCACTTCATCTTACTTTTTATGGGGCTCTTAACCTTTATATTTGGTACCAAATATTACAATGGAGAAAATCCCCCAAAGAAATTGAATATTCCTGGTATCATTGTTAGAGCTATCATTTAAAAACACAAATTTTGCACTGAGCATGGTGGTGCACCCTTGAAATCCTAGAGCTTTGGGAGGCTGAGGCAGAAAGATCTTCGTGAGTTTGAGACCAGCTTGGACTTACATAAGCAAGTTCAATACCAGCCTGGACTATATAGTTAAGACCCTGCCTCAAAAAAAGTTTTTTCGATGTTCACAAGTATGAAGATGTGAAAAAAAATCACTCTTCTTGGATTGGAGGTTTGGCTCAGTGGTAGCATGCTTGTTTAACCTGTTTGAGGCCTTGTGTTTGACTCCTTAGCATTTCCAAGGGGAGGAAAAAAATGGCAAAAAGAAAAGAAAGCAAACAAACAACGAAAAACAAAAAGCAAACACTCTCCAAAATGCTTGGTTTGCTTTTTTAAGATAGGATCTTGCTAAGTAGTTCACACTGATCTTGAACCATTTTCTAGCACTGGCTGGCCTCAAACTCATACTAATCATCCTGCTTCAGTCTTTTGAGTGCTGATATTACAGAAGTGTGCCACCACTCCTGACTTCCAAAATGCCTTGTGCTAACTATTCCCATGGTTAGTCTCTGCCTTCATTCAAGTCTGCTCAGATTCATCTACTCATAGTGTACTTACTATCCAGACTCACATTATTTATTCAAGCCTAGCATTCCTATGTCTTACGTTTTATCTTTACTTGATAATTAACAAAGATGTTTTATAATTTGTTTATATGTTATGCTTGTTGTTTATTGTCTACCCTTCTCTTTTAGAATATAAATTCCATGAGGGAAGGATTTTATTTCCTTGTTTGGAGCTGTATCCAAGCAGTTAGAAGAGTACATAGCAGAGTACATAGCAGCAGATACATAGCAGAGTCTCATTAACTGTTGAATAAATGAATGAGTGAAAGAATACATTTTACTTATTATACAAAAGTTTATAAATGGAGATTATAAAATGTTCTTAAGAGAGAAGTTACCTCTTAATATGTAATTTGTTAATCATGAAAGCATTCTTCAATGAGAAACCTATGGTAATAGCTAAGTCATGGCAGTACTGAAATACATGACTTCAGACTTCTGTCCTTTAATTTGGGTAAATAGTGTAGCTTATCTCAGTCCTTTTGGTTATGCAACTTTATATTTCTTCTGATAATTTTCTTCTATGATTTTCTTGTGCTGTTATAGCTCATTAACTTTTTGCATAGAGTTGATATTTTCAGATAAATCTCTGATTTAAAATTCAGAAAAGGCATTAAAATGCATAGTTATGTATAGTCCATATTTCATATGCTTCATTCTTTTTACATGTGTAAATTTATGTAACTATGCATTTGTCTTAAGTAGATTTCTTGTGTTAATCTGTATTTTGTATGAATCTTTTAAAAAGTTGACTAAAATGAAATACAGAAGGAAAATTTTAAACTAATGTATAGGGAAGATTATCTTCAATATGAGTATTTTGACAGAATAGAAAGAAATGAATTATTCATTCAAACTATTTCATAAAAATAAGATAATTTGAAAATCTTTCATTGGATTCTCCAGATACTGCTTCACACAAGTTTTAACTCATGTAATTTTCATAAGCATTCCACAGACTAGATACTGTCTTCTCCACTTTTTTGTTAAGAAAGCTGCTGAACTACAAAAGTGGTTAGACAGATTATCCAAGATTATACATGCTAGTAAGTAGCTAACTGGAGTATTTACTCACATTCTAGGAAGCAGAAGGCTCTAGAGGGGTGCCTCTGTGGCCAAATGCAGAGAATGGCTAGCTGACACAGGTTCAGTTGACTGGAGGTAGATGAGTCATGAGCAGTGGGGTGAAGCTTTAGGTGTTGGCAGCAACTACAGTGGCTGGTGAAAGTGTAAAGGTGGAGTTCCCAGGAAGAATGGACTTCTTTTTCTCTTTGAGCTGTTTGGTTTCGTTTTTAACTTCGTAATCTCAGAAAAGCCCTTTTCTTGGAGTTAGGACTATTGGTTTTAACTAGTTCCCATCTCTGACTTCCTATGTGTGTGTTGTGTACTTTTGAATGATGGCACAACAGAAGAAGGGTGGGTGCCACTTGGTGGGCGGGGAGAGAGAGACACCATTCAGATACCCATCTAGCCATTCCCCTTGTGGATACTTCGGCATGACTTAGCTAAGGAGGCTGGAAGACCTTCATTATGCCTTATGTTGATTGCCTTGGAACCAAAGGCAAGGGCAATCAACCAATGTGACCAGTGCTTCACATTCCTGGTGCCCACATGGAACAGCCTATTGCATATGTTGTGTGTTTTGCTCACTCGCACATTCATTCAGCCGGTACTGAGAGGGTAAACATTCCAGCCCCCTTCCCTTAGTGTGGTCCTGGGTCCTGATTAATGAGACTCTCCTTCTGCTCAGGCAGGTAAGCAAGGCAAGCAGGCAGGCAGGCTGACTGTGTCCTATTCCCTTTGGGGGGGTCCAGTGTGAGATGCTTGAATGGGGAGCCAGGAATCCTCCTTTAGATCTCTTAGAGGACTCCAGAAATCTTGAGGGTGTGCCTTCTGTTGGGACCTGGAGAGGTGATTGCTCCATCTGCAAGGTCCACGACCTGTGACCAAAGACGTCTGCATGGTTGGTTGGTCTTCCTGGCCAATGTACTAGATGCAGTGGCAAGCACAAATACCAAAACGATACCCAGGATTTGGAGGCAGATTTATTTTATGTCGATGGGCACTGATTGGGATCATTCCCAAAATATTAGGCCCTGGTCTCTGGTGGTCTAGTTCTGTTTGAGATAAGCAAGCAGGGGTCTAGTTCTGTTTTAGATAAGCAAGCAGGAAGTACAGAGGCTTATCAGTTGAGGATTGGTTCTTACAATACGCGTTATAGTGACCAGCTATGCATCACAGTGACCAGATATTTCTAAGAAACAAAAGCAAAAAGAACTGTAACTATAACTATTACCTGGGCAACTAACAAATTGAAGTATACTGACTTGGGGGACTTTCTGTTGCAGTGGGAGAAGCAACTGTCTCATCTTAGAGATCAGTAGACATAGTAAAATAGCTTTTGCTTCAATTTGTTCTTATTTGAGATATCATGTGTTTATAAATACATATATAGTAGTATACAGATTCTCCAGTGTAAAATAAAATAGTTGATAATTTTCACCATGAAAATACTAATTACTAATTTTCTTTTCTTAAGGTAGAAAATATTTTGTTAAATGACAGTGGAAATTATGTACTTTGTGACTTTGGCAGTGCCACCAATAAATTTCTTAATCCTCAAAAAGATGGAGTTAATATAGTAGAAGAAGAAATTAAAAAGTAAGTATCCTTATTGCATCTTGTTCTGTAGGAATTTGGGTTGAGTCTGTGATCAGCTATGTTAATACAGTACAGATTGTAGATACTCCATTTATGTTTCTGTGCCATGATGGAAAGTTAATTTATGTCTGAATAGACAGTAGGAAATATATTTTATAATGCAGTTTCCATATACCTTTTTAAAAGATTTGTCAAGACATCTATAAAATAAGCTGTAGTGATTAATTGAATCATTTACAGAGAATTTTAAGTGATATTGAGTTCAGTGAATTTTTTTCTTTCTCTAAAACTAATCCATATGTCCTGTTTAAGAAAAAATTAAGATACTTGAATTCATGTAAGCACTTTTTATTGAAAGTTAAAGACTGACTTGTATTGATTGAAAACTATATGAAAGACCAAATGTTAAAACTGTATGAATTCAGTTTTACTTTGTAGTGGTGTGTTGGGAAGCTTTCTGGTGGAATATGTCATGTATGCTTTATGTTTTCTTAATCCTGTACTTGCTGTGCTTGCTAGAGTATCTGTGAGGATCTTTTTAAAACTTCATTGTGTTCTAGTTTTAGAAAATGAAAATGTCTTAGATCACCTTAATAAAATGACACAGAAGGCAAAAAGATGTGTTAGTATAGAAATTTTTAAGTAGTTCCTTTTTCTAACGTGCCTTTAATTACTTGCTCATAGATTCTTAAGATGATCTAGAACAGTGGTTGCGAACCTATGGCATGGGTGCCACTGCAAGCTGTTTGTATCATTGAAATCTGTAAAAGGTTTGCCATTACTGCTCCAGAAGTTATCATTTGTACTGCAGTATTTATAAATAGTTCAAGTAGTGCTATTATTATTTTTGCCCATTTGTATAATATACTATATTTCTAGATTACATATTTGTACTCTGGAATCTTAGTCTATCATGATTATGTTAAGACTCCATAAAATCAGATACCTTAGTAAGTATATAAATGTCCTAAAGAACACAAGAATATTAAGATACTGAATTGGCTTTTTGGGATATGTGTGTATCACTATAATTAAAAATTGAGATTTTCAGTGGCTGCTATGGAATTCCAGCAAGTATCTATCTTGTTAGGCATATTATTTCTTGCTGTTGTTTTTTGAAGTATAGTGAGAGTAAGTTGAATTTTGCTGATGATTGAAATTTTATGATGAATAGGTACTCATTTTGGAGTTTTTGTCCTTTGGGGTCAGGTGAGGAGCTAACCTTTTATTAACAAGCATTTATTTAGAGCTAACAGTGTTCTTGGTGCTTGTGATACAGTAGTGAACAAAAATCTTGCTGTTAAGCAGTTTATATTCTGATGTTTTAGACCATTTCCTCTCTTCCCAGTGTGTAATTTGGAAAAAGATAGTATGAGTTTAGAGATACTTCTTACAAAATAATATGTGTGAATGAATCTTTGTCATGTCCATCCATATTTTGATAATTTTGGCCATATGGTGGAGGACTACTTCATTAAAACATTCTGTTCATAATGAATTTGAGGGTTTGTATCAGTAAACTTTTATTTATAGTCCCTTTAATTCCGAGTAGTTTATGGTAGCATTCGGTATTAGAGGGCATACTTATATAGTGTAATATGTAGTTAGAATTGTGATAACTAGATTATTTTTAAAAAAACAATTATAAAATACAGGTGATTTACTACTGTGTCTAAGGAAGTATATTGGCATTTATAAGAACAAACTCTTTTGTAAGCATAGAGTTGTAGAGAAGGTAGAAATTTTACTTCTAGATTAAATATTAAATAATAATTTTACTTCTAGATTTAAGTATTTTGATAAGGTGACTATAGTCAAATTGAATTATTTTGTATAAATTCAAGAAAAATTATTTCCAATACATTGTCATTATTTAAGATTTTAATAAAAAAATTGGCCCTTGTATCATTGAAGATGCTGTTTTACTATTTATTTATTTATTTATTTTCGGTTGTACTTGAAATCAAACTTAGGGCTTTTTAAAAGGCCATATCCCTAGCCCTTAAATTTTTTTTTTTTTTTTTTTTGGTACTAGGAATCAAACTCAGGATCTTGTGCTTGCCAGGCAGGTGCTTTACCACTGAGTTGTATCCCTGGCGCTCTTATATTCTCTAAGTAAAAATTCCTGTAGATAATTTGTAGTGATTAAATCTTGATGTGTTTTCAGTGATCTTTTAAATTAGTGTTGTTTTTATATTTTCTAATGCTAAACGTTTTTTAGTATTATTTTATAAAGAAACTATTTAATTTTTTGTTGTTGTTAAATATTTCCTCTCCATTTTATTCATTAATTACCAGGTATACGACTCTGTCATACAGAGCCCCTGAAATGATCAACCTTTATGGAGGGAAACCCATCACCACCAAAGCTGATATCTGGGTAAGCCCTGAAAGGCAGATATCTACCTAGACAAATAAAAAGTCTGCATTCAGGTGACTTGTTTCTCCTCTGCTTTCCAAAAAGGCGTTTCTTAGTAACAAGATGGTGTGACGTTTGTGATGTACAGGGGAGGTTCTTATGCAGGAAAGAAAAATCCTAGAATGTTTTTTCTTACTTTAGGAATTTTAAAAAATGGAAACTGACATGAGTAAGTTTTCAAAAGTAATTCTAAACATACCATTGATTACAGTATATTCAGATTCTTAGACTATACGTATATTTGGATTTGAGGTAGATCTTGTTTCTTTTTACTTTATATTAAAATCTCAACATCTCTTTAACTTTTTCATAAGTAAAACTTTTGATTGCATTAAATAAACTTCGCAGGAAACTATTTAATTTTTTAATTTTAATTTTTGGTACCAGGGATCGAACTCAGGACCTTGCACTTAATATAATAGGCAGGCCATTATGTCACTGAGCTAAATCCCCAACCCACTATTTCATTTTTGTAATTTAAAAAGTTTTGTTTTTAGGGCTCTATATTTTGAATGTGAAGCTCAAGTGTTGCTTAGCCATATTTACTACTAGTGAAACTATAGGGAATAAAATTCTTTGAAGTAGTTACAAAGTTTACAAGAAGGCATCACTTTTTTTTTTTTTTTTTTTTTTTTTATTAATACTGGGGCTTAAACTCATTACCTTGTGTTTGCCAGGCAGATACTGTGCTGCTGAGCTATGTCCCCGGCCCCAAATTTTGTTTTTAAAACATAATGTTCAGAAAGTAGTAGTCACATGTGGGGAGCCAAATTGCTGTCTCCTTGGCTTTTTTCCTATGGGCTCCTTCCCTTGGGAGTGCCAAACAAAATTTTGAGAGAAAAATATTCTTGAAAAGTAGTAAAAAAACGTTTAATAAAGTTTCATCTGTTTACATATATATACATTTTTACCCATGATTCTTACTGGTATTTTAAACTGCATTTGCAAAAAAACTACAAGTAAGTTTGATTTAGTTAATTTTGACACATCAGTTTATATAATTCAAATATCATTTGTTTTCCTCATCATAAATATTTAACTTATTCGATGGCTTATAGTAAAGTTGAGGGCTATGCATAATGTAGAAATATATAGAATTAGGTCTTAATTACTAAAATGAAATTATTAAAATGACGAGGTGACTGGAGGTTGTAGAATTTTGTTATTTTTTGTAAGACTAGGCATATATGTAAAATTACTAAAAAGTGAAAAAAAATAAGAAAAATAATTAGAAAACAAAATCTGTGATTATATACTTGAAAGAGAGAATTTTAATTTCCATGATGCCCAGTTTTATGCTTGCGGTACTTACTGGTGGTAGCTCAGGTAAGACTGAAATATGCTACAATTTAGTTACGAATTGAAGAATCTAGAAAAAATATTCAATTTAATTTGATAAAAAATGATATTTTTGATTCTGCTTCAAGTGCATTCTGATTTGCAAGGTTATAATATTTAGGCTAAATTATTCATTTAGCACTTTGAATTTTGGCAAAAAAATTTTCTCTTGGAAATTTCTGTTGTAGTTTATTTTTATCCTGTGATCTAGAATGCTAATTTTATTAAGTATTAAGAATATTAGTTCAGTAAAAGATACTTCATTTGAGCTGATGGTGACCTTCAAAATCAGGTTACTTGTTCTGTTGTCTAATTCTTACTGTATCATTGGATGAAGAAGGAAATACTTTTGGTATGAAACAGTACATTTTACTGTGTTTTTTACTGTGCAAAGCACAGTTACTTAAATTCACACTTTTAAAGTACATTGACATTGCTGAAATTATCTGGAAACTTATACATTGACTTTAAGACAAATTAGTACAGATTTGATTAACAAGATAAAACTGGCTAACATGTGACCCTCCTTTGTCAAATGGGCAATGGAAAGATGTAACTTAGTACACATATTACACTGAATAATATGTTTATTTTTTATTTATTATTATTTCTAAATCTGTTATTTCAAATAAAAAAAGAAAAGAAAAAAACTGCAACAAAATTTCAAGACACATCAGTCAGGCATTGTCATTCCCGTATCTTTCACCCAGAGCACAAGACATCTGCATTCAATTATCTACACAATACCAGCGCAAATGTTTTTCTTCATTGAACTCAGAAAAATAAGTAGTATAACTATCTTAACTATTATTTTTTATACATATACATATACATACACTTTTTTCAGCTCATACTAATGAAGTAATATGATGTTTACATATGTGAGTCTGATTTATTTCACTCAGTATGGTCTCAAATTGCATTCATTTACCTATAAAAGTCTCCACTTTATCCTTCTTTATGGGTGAATAGTACTCCATTATATAAAGATACCACATCTTTTATATCCATTCCTGAGTCTATGGGCATTTAGATTGTTTCCAAGATCTGGCTATTACACACTGTGCTGCTATAAACATGGGTACACATATATCATTGTGGTATGATCTTTTTAATTCTTTTGGGGATATGCCCAGAAGGGGAATAGCTAGCTTGAATGAGATCTGTAATCCTAGTTTTTTTGAAGAATCCATGGACATCCACTGATGTCCATTGTGGTTGCACTAGTCTACACTCCCACCAACAGTGGAGAAGGGGTCCTTTTTCCCCAGAGCTGCTTCAGCATTTCTAGTGCATGATTTCTTTATAGCCATTCTTTCTGGGGTGAATCTCAGTGTTGTTTTAACTTGCATCTCGCAAATAACCAGTAATGTTGAACATTTGTCCATATATTTATTTGCTGTTTGTATTTCTTCATCTGAGAAATGTATTCATTACAGATGTCCATTTTTGGATTGGGTCTTTAAATCAGGGAGGACTCATTTTTTTTGAGTTCTTTATATGTTCTCAATTATAATCTTTTGAGGAACAGTTGGCAAACATTTTATCCCATGTTGTGGGTTGTCTTTTCATTCTGTTGGTAGTTTCTCTTGCTGTGCAAAAGCTTTTAAAAAGTAGGGTAAGATCCCAGTTGTTGATTCTCTGTGATAGTTTCTCTGAATCAAGATTTTGTTTGTAAAGTCTTTGCCTACACTAATGTGTTCAAAAGTTTTACCTACTCTGTCTTCCAGCAGATCTGATGTTTCTGTTTTAATATTAAGATTGTTGATCCATTCTGATTTTAGCTTAGAACATGGTGAACGATATAGTCCAGTTTTAATCTTTGACATGTGTAGAGCCAGTTTGTCCAGCATCATTTATTAAAGAGGCTATCTTTCTTCCAGTGAATGTGTTTGGCACTGTTGTCAAAGATAAGGTGCCTTAGTGTTTCTGGAGTTGTTTCTGTATCTTCTGATTTGCTTCATGGATCTTTAAGTCTGGGTGGTTTTTTTTTTGGCCAGTACCACACTATTTTTTTTTTTTTTTAATTTAAATCACAGTAGCTTTATAGTATAAATTCAAGTCAGGGATTGTGATGCCTCCTGTCTTGTTTTGGTTGCCCAGGATTGCCTGTAGTGTTCTAGGACTCTTGTGATTGCAGATGAATTTTAGGATTATTTTCTCTAATTCTGTGAGATGTGCTATTGGAATTTTGATTGAGATTGTATTGAACAGTTTTGAAAGTATGGCCATTTTCACCATATTGGTTCTTTTACCCAAGAGCACTGGATATCCCACCATTTTCTAATAATCCTCTTCAATGTCCTTTTTCAGAGTACTTTAGTTTTCAATGCAGAGGTCTTTTACATCCTTTGTTTGATTGATTCCTAGGTATTTCATTTTTTTGGGTGCTATCGTAAAAGATATTGTTTCCCTGAATTTCTCTCTCAATGAATTCGTTATTTGTGTACATTCCTGACTATTGATTTTGAATGTTGACTTTATAACCAGCTACGTTGCTGAATTTGCTTATTAAATAAAGAAGTCTTTTTTGGTGGTGTTTTTGGGGTCTCCTAAGAAGAGCATCATGTCATCTGCAAATAATGATAGTTTGACTTCTTCCTTTCCTATCTTTATTCCTTTTATTTCTTTGTCTTGTCTAGTTGCTCCAGCTATATTTTCGAGGACTGTGTTGAATAAGAGTGGAGGCAGTGGACATCCTTGTCTTGTTCCTGATTTTAGAGTGAAAATGTTGAGTGTTCATTTAGTATGATATTAGCTGTTGGCTTGTCAAAGATGGCTTCTATCAGATTGAGGTACAGTCTATTCCAATTATCTGTAGAGCTTTTTTTTTTTTTTTTTTTTTTGTTTAAACCATAAATGGGTGTTGGACTTTGTCAAAAGCTTTTTTTCTGCATCTATTGAGATGAGTATATGATTTTTGTCCTTGGCTCTGTTAATGTGGTGTGTTACACTTGCAGATTTACGTATGTTGAACCATCCCTCACTTGATCATGTTGCATAATCTTCTTGATGATTATACTTGATCATACTTGATGATTATACTTGATTATACTTGATGAATTTCATTTGATCATGTTGTATAATCTTCTTGATGATTTGTTGTGTACTGTTTGCCATTTACTTATTGAGGATTTTTGCATCAGTGTTCATTATGGAGATTGGCCTGTAATTCTCTTTGGGTCCTTCTTTGATTTTGATGTCAGGGTAATGCTTGCTTCCAGGAATGAATTTGGAAGTATTGCTTCAGTTTCATTAGAGTTTCAGAAGTGGTGGTGTTAGGTCTTCTCCAAATTTCTTGTAGAATTCAGCAGTGAATCCACCAGGTCTTTTCTTTTTGATAGATTGTAAATTACATCTCCAGTTTCATGTATTTACATTGGGTTATTTAGGATTTTTGTATCTTCTTGATTCAGCTCTGGTAGTTCATATGCATCTAAGAATCTGTCCATTTCTTCGTATTTTCCATCTTATTAGAAGTTCTCAAAGTAGGTATAGATGATTTTCTGGATTTCTACAGCGTCTGTTGTGATTTTACTCTTTTTATTCCTAATTGCATGGATTTAAGTCTTTTATTTTTGATAGTTTTTCAAAATGTCTGTCAGTTTTGTTTAGTGTTTCAAAGAAGGAATTCTTTGATTCATTGATTTTTTTGTATTGGTTTCTTAGTCTCTAGTGTTTAAATTGATCTGATCTTTATAATTTCTTCCCCTTGTATGAGCTTTTGGTTTAGCCCTTCTTTTTCTAGAAATTTGAGGTTTAACATTATGTTGTTTTTTATGTGCTTTCTCTATTTTCCTCAAATAGTACTATTTTTAATGTTGTTAAGGGAGTCTTACATTCAGTTTATAGTACACATACTAAAAATTTCTGCTTTTAGGGGCTGGGGATTTAGCTTAGTGGCATAAGCACCTGCCTTGCAAGCAGGCGGTTGTGAGTTCAATCCTTGGTACTGATAAAAAAAAAAAAAAAGTAAAAAAAAAATTTCTACTTTTAAAGAAACCATTATTTTTACTTAAATTTAACAAGACTTTCTGTTTAGAATGTATAATAGTTTTATTATAATCCAGTAATGTTTCAAACCGAACTTTTTTATTGAAAGACTGCCATAATATTGAAAGTGTTGTGTAAATTAATGTTGAACCCATGAAAGTATTTTTCTGTATTATGATCTTCCCAGTAGTTATAAAAGTGCACTTGGTAATTGAGCTTGCCAAAGTATATCAAACGAAGCAAGTCAAACGAAGAGTATCTTATTGCTAATTTGTAGATCATAATGCCAACGTTTAGTGTAGTTGATATAATTATGCTAGTGATGAGATAATTTCAAACAGTTTGTTTAGAATTTAAGGTGCTTCTTATATTCTTAGAGCTTGCAAGTGACGCTTATGCTAAAGCGATGATTTCTTAGGCCAAAAATGTTTTTTCTTTCTCTGTTTGAAAGATTATTTCTCAAGTTTTAGCTATTTACTTCTTAGTTAGAAACTACTTTTCTAGACATATTTGCATGGTGGTGTAATTAGGGCAGCATACAATAAAAACTACAGGATTATACACAAACATAGAGAACTAATTCTACAGTATAAAATAATGATGGGTTTAGTAAATAAACTTTGGTAGTGGTTTATAAGTTAACTTAGAACTTGAAAGCTTCTACCGAATTAAAAAATTCTTTCAGAGCTTTGTGCTTAGTTTGTATGATACATGTTAATTTTGTACTAACTGCACCTTTTTTTGTGGAAGAATCATTTTTCCTCCCAAAAGGAACTACCCATATTTGGTTTAATTGTTGTTATGCATGATTTAGAACAGTTTAGCCACCTGTTTACAAATATATCACAAAAACATGGAAATACACATGGAAATGGAGATGAAAATATGTTTTCATAAATAAAGATTATTTAAACAATAATTTGTGAAAAGATTGTTCTGATATAAAAATACTTGAATTAAAAAGTAACATGCTATTTTTTTTGTTTTGAGCAACTTTTATGTTTTGCACTTGACTGCCCACTCTGATGATATTTATGCTTCTGTTTTACAGGCCCTAGGATGTTTACTATATAAACTTTGTTTCTTCACTCTTCCTTTTGGTGAGAGTCAAGTTGCTATCTGTGATGGCAGCTTCACCATCCCGGACAATTCTCGATACTCCCATAACATACACTGCTTAATAAGTAAGTACTTGGAAGGTAGTCTTCTTTTAGGGCCTGCTATTTATACTGCCTCATTTAACCTATTCGTTTAATTCCATTTAGAATTATGTTACTATGACTTTAATAGGTAGGATTTAGTAGCATACGGGAGAAATGATACAGTTAAGGCAACTGGAATTCTGAGAATGGGAATGCTTATAGTATAACGTTTAATTACTTAATTTTTATACTTTTGAAATTAATATACAGAACTATTACTTCTTTGGACCAGAATATACTAATCTTAGATCGTGCTTATCTTGTCAATCTTTTAAATACATGTATTTTATCAATGTATAGATAAGTACAAAGCCAGAAAGGTTTGAAGTCAGAAGGAATAGAATGACAGGCCCTGTCTTCCAAAAGAATTTACTTTTCTCCAGTCTAAGATTTTGCCTTCCATTTGGATAATGTAATTATATAGTTTATGTTTATACTTAATAAATGTTTGGAAAAAGATGTTTTGAGGAGAGGAGGAAAACTAGCAGGCACTAAAATATATAGTATACAGTAACTACAGTACTTAAATACCCCTGAGTACTGACTTAAGCTATATCTAGCATTCCTATTTTGTTTTCTGTGTTTTAAATACTTCCATTATATCCTGGAGCTCAGTGGCAAAGAAAAAGAGGGTCAGTTTAACTATGCTTGATGTTCATATGGTAAAGACAGCAGTACAACTTAGTGGGAAGTGTGAATGGATATAGAAAAATTTCTTAGCTATTTGCAATAAAAGATACAGCTGAAATCTGTACTTCATTCTGTATACTAAAGTTTCATATAAATAAAAACTTCAAATGTAAAAAGTAAACAGATTTGAAGAAAGTAAAAGTAAACTTTTAAGAATAGAATGTGGAATCAATACACTAGCTATGGGCGGGGGATTGAGCTTAGTAGCATAAGCACCTGCCTTGCAAATATGCAGTCATGAGTTCAATCCCTGATACCAAAACCAAACCAAACCAAACCAAACCAAAACAAAACAAAACAAAACAAACAAAAAGCTAACCAGGCCCAGGGACTAGGACTCCAGGTAAGAATTACTCCAGTACTCCATTAACAGTATAAAAGACAAACTCATAAAGACCGGTGTAAAATCAAATGATAAATTATAAATAATGTCACTCATTTGATAAATGGCTACCTTTTATAATTTATAGAACTTATGCAAATCAAGAAATGTAAACACAAGAAAATTCAAAAGTAGCACGTTTATATTAAAGTATCTAGGCTCAGTTTGTATCTTTGCTCACTTATTTCTGTAATGTTGATTTCCTCATAGTGTTAGAAATATGCAAGTTTAATATTTGTGTCATGTTCCTAGGCAAAGAGGAGCCACAATAATTGGGTGGGGAAGGTAGTATAATTTTGATAGAAAGGGAAATAGCGAAAGCTTGGCTGCTTCATGGTCTTCATGAACACATTTAACTTTTTGAGAACACTAACTGTGAATACTTGGATTTTCTCTCCTAGAGTTCTACCTCGCTTTTATGTGGCTCTGTACATATGAGTGACCACGTGCTCTATAGCCCGGGGCCTTTACTTTTATGTTCACTAGTTGAGCACCTGCCAACACTGTTTTGATGTGCTTTATATTTTTGAGGCTCCACCTAGTTGAGCTACCTGTCTGTGCAGTCCCACAAGTTCCCTTCTTAGGACCTTTTTTTTATCTTCTGTGACAGAGTTACATGCTTTTTAAATGGGGTGCTCTGTAAGTCTTCTGTTTTTCTTATGAGCTCTCTACTTTTACTGTGCTACATTGCAGAATGTAAAGATTTTTAATTTTAAAATCTTTTTAATTTTAAAAAGAAAAAAGACAAAACAATCAAAAGAATGCAAAACAATGAGAATGATACATGATCCTGGATTTCAAAAATAAGACAATAAATCAGCAATAGTTCCTATATTGCACATTGTTATCCTCTAAATTGTTGCTCAGACTATCAGATATGGCATGCAGAGTTAAACAATATAGGCCCTAAGTTGTTTCTTTATTTCAGTTGCTATTTCAGAAACTTCGGGTATGTAACTTCTAATTTCTTTTGTGTTCATGTCTCCTGAACTTGTTCTGGGTGGGTTGGAGGTCTGAGATTGCATCTTGCTCCTTTGTCTTGACATTTTCCTGTGTTCCACTGAATCAGTCGTTGCTGAACTCCATCCAGGTGCTCCCTGCATGGGCCACCTATCCCACCTTGCAGGGGATTGGGCTAGGCCCAATCCGAGGTTCCCAGGGTGACACAGAGGTGTGGGATGGTGGCTCACTGATGCTCCCCAGAAGGCAGCAGGGCCTGGGGGCGTGGCTTCTTCAGGCCCATGGAGGCAGGCTCACTGGGGGCGTGGCTTGGGTGCTAGCCCCAGTGGGCAGTGTCTCTGGGTGTGGCTTCTTCTCTAGGCTCATAGCAACAGGCCCAGAATATAAATTTTTAAGAAAGCATGAAGTATATTTGAATAACCATTATATTTGAATAACCATTAGACTTTTTACCCTTTCTGTCTTATCTCGTTGCTTTTCCATTTCCTTGGCAAAATTTGTGACATCAAAAGTGTAAAAATTTATTTAAGAGGAGTGCTCAAAGAACATATTGAGGAACTTAATTTTTGTTTACATGCTTAGTTGAATTTTAATCCTTTTTTGCAGGGTTTGGTTTTTATAAGTCGTAGCCATATACACTATTTTGCTGTGAAGTAATATTTTACTAATAATTGAATGTAGAATTTTATTGAGGTTCTTGTGATGCCTTTTTTTCTCTTTGTGTTCTCATTTGGCAGATAATAGACTAATATGCAATTTTAGTTGCTACTTTCTTGGGTTAAATAGCCCCACTCATGTATGTGTGGATGTTTGTGTAATGGGAAAGCAAATAAGGTAACTACTAATTTATTTTTTTTTTAATTGATACAGGGATTGAACTCAGACCATGCACTTGCAAAGCAGGTGCTTATGCCCCTGGCTAAATCCCCAACCCCGGTAAATACTAATTTTAAACTCGTTGAGCTTTAGTTAATTGATGCTTTATAATGCACCAAATACTTCCTTGTCAACAAATGTACAGATTCATTTTTGTCATTCCTGATACAAGTTTGTGCCAAAAATGAAAAGTGTTGAATAAAATAAAAACGCTCAAGCTAGGCAAGGTGGTGCATATCTGTAATCTCAACAGGAAGATTGTAAATTGGAGCCCAGCATGGGCAATTAAAAAACTTAGCAAAACCCTGTCTCAGAATAAAAACATTTTAAAAAGAGTTGGGTATGTAGTTTGGTGTGGAAACCCTGGTGTGGAAATCCTACTACTACTACTGTTAATGAGGAGTAAAAAAGCATCTAAGTCAATGTGAAATTAAACATCCATGAATTTTACCTCTTGTCAAAGTTTTTTACAGACTTTATCTTTAAATGTTTTGAGAGGTAAAAGTTTAATAAAGTTTAAAAACCAGATGTAACGTTTTCTAAAAATATTTACTTTACAGCATTATTCTTTATCCTGTGTTTATACTATGTAATTAGTGATTTATATTGGTTTTAAATAAATCCTATATTCAGAAAACCAAGAATATTATATAACTCTTTTGAGTGAATGAATATAAAACTTTTTATCACCAAATGTCTACTTATGCAATCTGATTGTTCTAATATATTTAGAGGAAGCATAAGAAGGCACATCTTTTAATATTAATAGTAATACTAGGCCAAGGATTTAGCTCAGTGGCTTAAACACTTGCCTGGTAAGCACAAGGTCGTGAGTTCAGTCCCTGGTACCAAAAAGAAGTAATACTAATACAGAATCCACTTTATATCACTCATAATTTTTGAAAAGAGTAAAAAAAAAAAGTCATGACAAATCTTTGTTTTAATTGTATGGTTTGTGGCTACCAAATTATTTGAGTATGAGTTTTCATTATTGGTAATTCAGGTAAAGTCATTGTTAATAGTATCTATCTTCCATAAAGTTTGGTTTAACTACTTTCTTACTGTAGATGTTTTTCTTAAAAATAGCTGAATCAATTATTTAGAATTTTCCTCTTAGCTTTTGTTGACTTTTCCTGTGGACAAGTAATTAGATTGCTCTGGGAGTTAGGAAAGAAGCCCTTTCTGTTTTTAAATCTAAGAGTTGAAAAGAATTTAGAAAACATTTAAGAAAGAATAAGAATCATAACTAAGGGGATTCCTGAATAGTTATAAATAGTGATCCTCCTATGAATTCTGTTACAAAGTGCTTGAGGAGATTAAGGACAAATAAGACTGTAGAGCCAAACAGCTTGGTTTACGTCTCTTTGTCACTTGACATGGAAAATTGGGTACCTTTATTTATCTCAGTCTCCTTATAGGTGTATTAAAAGTACTTCCCTCTTAAGAGCTGTTGTTAGAATTAAATGTGTTATGGAAAATGTTTGTTCAAATGTATGAGTGCTTAGAAAGAGGTAGCATTTAATACTGCCTTCATTGCTTCAGTGACAACTGCCACTAGTAGCATTATCATAATTCTTCCTGAGCTAACCTGATTTCTGATGGCCTAGATGAAGGGCAGAGGATCTGCCCTTAGTCATTAGGATGTACTTTCCCTGCAGAGATTTCTTTGGATGCTTTGAAGCAGAATTTGCTGATCATGGTGAATCTACCAAAAATTTTGTATAAATTATTATAGTAAAATACAACTACTGGGGTAAGGAATTTAGCTCAGTGGCCTAAGTGCCTACCTGGCAAACCTGAGGTTATGTGTTCAAACCTTGGTACCACCCAAAAAACAAAAAAAACCAACTACTAAGAATATTTTTTACCTCTTTATTTTGTGTAATGATACAGTAATTTATAAATGAATACTTGCTATTGGGTCTGCTCAGTTATTGCTGTTTTATGACTTCTTTATGTTTGCTCATCTATTGTGGTTAGATTTATTTTAATACCTATCTTGTGGGAGTACCAGGAATTACTCGCTTTATTATATTATATATTATATATATTATACTTATTATAGTGATTAAAA